TCTCTGTCTCCCTCTCTCTGTCTCCCTCTCTCTGTCTCTCTCTCTCTGTCTCTCTCTCCTTTTCTACTGCAGAATATGATCCACTCTGACCTTCATGCGTCCACTGGCAGTCAGCATTCATTCCACTCAGCTAATTATTGTGCAGATGATGGTGAAGCTCTGAGTAATAAGGAAGACATCAAACCCCAACAGGAAGTCAGAGACAGACAGACAGACAGACAGACAGATGTGCAGGATGGACAGAGCATTACCTCAGACACTCGTTTACTTAGCCTGCTTTATTCAACTTAGACAACAGAGAGAGTGAGAGTGTGTGTGAGAGAGAGACAGAGAGAGAGAGAAAACAGAATAAACAGAATAAAGTAAAGGAGACAAAGAATTTACTCATTCATTCACCCATTCATTCATTCATTCATTCCCAAAAGAAGTGTGATTCACTCATTCATTCAGTCAGCACAGTAGTAAAGGTGATGAAGGAATTCATTCAGTTCCAGGGGCAGTGAGGAAACTAAGTGCATGACTCCCCCTAGTGGGCTCAGAGTGAACTGAATGCCTGACATAACAGAAGATCTTCATTAGAGCTTCTCACAGTTCAGATCTACTGTAACCTGAAACATCAGACTTCAGGACTCAGCTGTTCAGAGATTCTGAGACAGTGACACTCCAGGAAGAGGAAGACCAAAAGTTGTAGACGGACAAACACTCTGATTTGTTTACAGAAGGCGAAAGAGCTGAAAGAGTCTGAAGATGAGTCAGTGTTTGAGCGGAGAGGACAGGAAGGAGAGCAGTGATGATTTATGCAGATTAAAGGTGATGTAGTCTGTGTATAAACGCTGTTTGATCATTACAGAGTAAAGCTGTAATAACAGTGATGTGCAGGTCTGTAGACACACAGGTGCGTCTGCACACTGACTGATCCTACAATCTCACAGCTCTGAGGCCTCAAATCTCCACAAGGTCACTTTCTTGACCTCCAGCTGTGTCTTCTAGGCAGCCGCAGCACCAGGAGGTGCTGAAATCGTTCAGTTCCCTGTTAGAAACCCTGAAAATGTTGACTGGCCTTTTCATACAAGTGATATACATTTAATTAGTTCATAAATCTGTTCCACCTCCCACAAGATATGCGGACACATGCATAATTAATGTGTACACACACACACACACACACACACACACACACACACACACACACACGAAAAGCACACAGTAGACTGATACAGGATCAGTCCTGCTCTAGAGTTCTCATCAGAACATTAACTGACACACTAAGGGTGTTCTCACACCTGTCCTGAATACCTGAGTCCGCACCCAGGACTGAGGTTGTTTTGGGGGAGGAGCTCATTATAGTTGATTTGCTTTCACACACAAGAATTCCATCTGTGGATCAGTTGCACAGTTCCGTACGTCACTCCTCTGTGTGCAGGTTTGCAGAGTGGTCAGGACTGGCTTCATCTGTCTGCTGCTTTTTTAAACACAGTCAAGAGGTGAAGAGCAGCGTGTTAAATAGAGTAAAGCAATCACTAAATTATGTGTGTAAACAATATAAAATGATAAAGGTAAACGGTTAGTCAGGCTAATGAAGTCATTCTAAGAAGCTGTGAAGCAGCCGATCACAACACACAGATTCTCGTAGGCTGAGCCCGATTCAGGCCTGATTCACACATCTGTGTGGCGAGAGCAGCGCAGAAAGTCCTGTTTTTCATTTCGGCGCCAATGTTAACTGGTCAGTGCTTTCACACAGGCTGCGGTGTGTGGAGAACAGACTGGGCACCATCTTTTTTGTGCATCAATGAAAGTTTAACAAAACCATATAAACTTAATGTTGGCTCTCTCACCAGATCACGAGTTTGATCCCCGGTGATGCTACAGCCGTCTTTGGCCGGGAGTCCAAGAGAGCACAGTTGTCCTCGCTCTCTCTGGGTGGGCAGGATGCCCCCCGTCTCCCCCATCACTCAGCGCGATGCTACCCAGCGCAGGCGTCTGTTAGCTGATGTAACAGATCTGGCGGTCAGCGTGTCCTCCGAGCGCGTTCGGTTGTACAGTGACGCTGCGTTAGTGGCAGTTTGAAAAGATGCAGTGGAGCTTCACAGAACTCAGAGGAAGCCTGTGGTTGACTTCACCCTCCTAGGGCTGATGGTATCGTGTGACTGGGGGAGACTAACTAGTGGGTGGAACTGGATACAACTAGATTAGGGAGAAAATTGGAGAAAAAAAAAAATCCCGGTAATTCCTGCTCACAGTGAGCCTGATGACCAGTTACTCAGAGTGAGCCTGATGACCACGACTGACCTGTTATTTCAGCAGAGAATCCTGTGTTTGTGAACAGACTGTGTCAGATATCACATGTCAGTTCGCCTTGACGGACCTGTGCGGGCGGGAGCGGGACAAATTATTCCGATTTTCTGTGGTAGCGGGATAAAATGGATCCGGAAAAACACCCTAAAACACTGATCTGAATCAGTCACTGAATATATAATCACTACACTTTGACTGTCTCAGGGGATTATTTTGGGTTTAAACATGGTTCAGCTCTTATTCTTTCCAAAAGACAGCAAAAACGTTCAGAACAGCTAAAATACCAACTGCTCCCACTTTGAGTCGGCTTCATCATCAGTTACAGCACGAGAGTTTATCGCCACCGCCTGGTCGTCTTTAGAGCTTTTTTCTATTGCTTGTAATTTATATTCTAATTTATTATTTATCATGAATCACCTTAACTACCCATTTTTATTATTGTCTCATTAAACTGGGTGTTTTAGTCTCTAAATCATTTCAATATTGTACATTTTTTCTTGAGAGTGAAAATATAAGCAAAAAACTCATTCTGGTCTCCAAACGTTGGAGCAACATTTTCCGTTCTCCTTCCGTTTCCTTTTGCTTGTAAAACACTATGAATTGCAATTTAAATAGTTTGAAAGGTGTTTTTTAATTGGTTTAATTGATTCATTGATCAGATATGCACTTGAATTTTGTAAACTTCATTTTGAATCTTCATACCGAACAACTAGTCACCCCTCTCAACCCTTTCCAAGTAATTTTGGACCCTTTCTGTTGGTCCATCATGAAATTTTAACACAATGTAAAGAGTAACTGCAGTTTTCAAAATCTGAACTCATTAAACACACTTATGTTTCTATCAGAGACACAGTAAAAATACCATTACTGACTCTCTAATGGGCCAATCTGGCATCAGTTGCCCGTTTTAATAAACAAATCTAATAAAGTCCTGCATTGAAAGTAGGAGGCGACCAGCTGTTCAGCACAGTGGGTCATGCATAATTACGCTACAGCATTTTAACATAGAACTGCAACACAGATCAGCCAAAATCGAAGATCACACAACTCTGCAGCCCAAACAATGTAATATCATAACATAGTGATCATAGTTATGACTGTGATTAGGCTGATGAACAGTGTAACAGCATAAAAATCAATACAATATTAAGATGAACTGGTAAGTGAGGTGTGTATACAGTAGAGCTGAGTGGGCGGGGCTGGAGCTGGTGTGAGCCAATCACAAAAGAAAGAAAAAGCACTGAGTTCAGTTCATCTCTTTGTCTGAGCCCGAATATAGCAGGAAGGTCATCACTCGTCAGCACGGACGCTCGCTGAGGACATTTCAGAAGGACAGAACTTTAAAACGGTCTTTTATCTTCCTGGTTTGGGCCGAAGTTCAGCAGCAAATAACATCAGAACCATGTGATCAGAGTCAAATGTCACAAAAATTTACTGCAAAAACAGCAAAAATGCAGCATTTATAAAGAAGCAGTGGCTTTAGACTGAACTCTGAGAGAGAGAGGGAGAGAGAGAGAGAGAGGGAGAGAGAGAGGGAGAGAGAGAGAGAGGGAGGAGAGAGAGAGAGAGAGGGAGAGAGAGAGAGAGAGAGAGAGAGAGGGGGGGGGAGAGAGAGAGAGAGAGAGAGAGAGGGGGGGGGAGAGAGAGAGAGAGAGAGAGAGAGAGAGGGAGAGGGAGAGCGAGAGAGAGAGAGAAGGACAACGTTACTGTGAATGTCTACTCCACCTGTAATAGTTGTGTAGTTTTAATTAGCAAAAACAGTCATAATTCATTTTAACAAACATATTCCGACCTCTCTCCATCCCTTACAGTTAAACAGGCTGTTTATATGGACACGTATGAACTGAAGATAAGAACAGAACATTTGGAAACTTCTATATTATAGATTCTATATTATAGATTGTGATTGTAGATGTGTGATGGAAATGTGGCCAAAACATAATATTACAATACTTCAAGCCGTTGCTGCATGACATGGTTTTTCTAAGGTTTGATAAGTTGGAACAGATGAAAAAAGATCCAGTAGTGCTACATAAAAAAATACAATCAAAAACTATAAATATAGTTTAATCCAAAATGATTTCTTTATTCTATATTTACATTTACGGTATTTGGCAGATGTTTTACACAGGTAGGTGAAGGCAGTGTTAGGAGTCTTGCTCAAGGACTCTTATTGGTATAGTGTAGAGTGTTTACCCAGGCAGGGACTGAACCCCCAGTCTACAGTGTAGAAGGCAGAGGTGTCACCCACTACACTATATTTATTCAGAAATTAATGTATCACATGGGCTCAGGAATATTTCTGAAAATACTTTAACACAGTTCATCTCTGCATCTACAAGAGCAAGTTAAGACTCCAGAAACGCCGCCGAATTCTCTGGGCTAAAGCTCATCTGAGGCGGATCAGTCAGGAGGAGAAATCATTCAGTCAAATGTTTCTAATTGGGTTACAAACAGTCTGTTGGTCCACATCAAGGAAACTTTGTTTTCTGTAGCTTTAAAAAAAATATATGTGCCAGGAGATAAAAGAACTTTTAAAGTAACTTCTCCAGTGTGTTGGCACAGCGCAGCTCTTCTGACGTAATAGATCAGAAAAATGCTGAAATGTTTTTTATTACCAGCGAGTGGTAGAGTGAGTACTGATGATGATGATGATGATGACGACGACGACATGATTAACAACACGCTCTCTGCATTTCTGACAG